AAAGAATCAAAATGACCCACAGCCCCCCCCCAGTAACTTGCCGGGTTACTTCCTGTTGGGTTCCAGTTTCCTTGGTTCCTCGTCTGGGATTCTTCGAAATAGTTTTCTCGTTTGATTCCAATTTGAGTACTGAACGTCAACCAATTCGCACTGGAGTGACGCGTAGCCGAAACCGATACGAATCCCGAAGTAAAAACACAATTGATCCGCAATGTTCTACGGTACTGGATTAACGAAATCATTACAAAATGTACAATAAAGCAAACCTCAAATACGCGGCCAAAAACACTCAAACAAGCGAGCCAAATAAGATGTCCAGAGAGAGGCAAACAGTCACTCCTGTTCTCAAACCACGCCAAATTCAAATGTGCCGGGCATCGAAATTAACAGATAAATAATGATGTATGGTGTTTGTGATCGAGAAATGTCAATATAAGAGCAACACACAGATAAAGTTATTTCACCATAAATCAATATGGGTTCGGAAGGATTTTCAAAAAGTTCAGCATGAAATACAAGCACCTACTATCATCACTATTCAATTCGGGGATTGTATGGTGCATGAGCGCGCCTGGATATTCGTCGTGGACATGTGATCGCTCTCGGCCAGATCTAGGGTGTCCGGAACATGGACCAATATGCCACCTCCACCCATACCATCTTCCCTGTCAGACCTGTACGTGCAGTGCCAAGTGAGTTGCAGGCTCTCCGTTGTGATGACCTCGTGTAACGATGTTTCGGCAATCACAATACGGTCTGATCATGAGGTTACAGCCCTTAGTTCTCTCCACTTGTTGCCTAGGCTGCAGGCGTTGGTGTAGAATGCCGATAAACCCCCAGCCCAAACCTCCTTCTAACGTTGGTACCACTAGAGTCCAGGGCGCACTCGGGCAAACCGCCCGAGTGCCCTCTTCGTTTTTTCTCGCTGGCATACTCTCGACCCTCAGTCGCTGAGGCACCGCAGAGGGAATGACGTCAACACTGGCCCTTCGAGCCACCGTAGCCCACAATTCCTCACCAGTCTCCGACTGAGTATGCACAACATCGCCCGGCCTGTCCTTACGATTAGCTGTGACCATTGTCATCCATCCTGCCAGCGTGGGCTGTGGGCCTTCTTCGTTACGTCTGTGTCTAACTGCCTCTAATTCAAGGATGTTTTTCGGTTGACGTTTCCTTAGCTCTATGACTGTCTCCTCATCAGTTATGTTGTCGTCATCGGTTTGTTGTTGCACTGAAGTGCGGCTATGTGTAATTAGTTGTGAATAGTCACAACAAACCCATTTAAGCTCCGCGTTATCTAGGTACAATAGTTAAGCATGGGGGGGGGGGNCGCTGGGACTCGAGGGTGATCCTATAGAGTTATGTCTAGCCATTCTCACCATTTTGTGGGAGCGCGGTGAAAAAAGTTTGGATGAGATCTAGTGAGAAGTGACCTAATAAGTAATAACCTCTAGCGAATGGAATAGAAAAACCCGTTGGGTAACTGGCCAGAAGGACGAAAACAGAACGTGTGAAAACGGCTTACCTTTAATAGATCGTCACAAACTGCTAAATAGCCCTTTAGGCTCACCGTTATCGCACCTCAATCCTGTGGGGAGCGTGAATGTACGTGTATCGTCGATACTCCTTTCGGAAAACTCCCAATTTATCCTGAATTAAAAATAGTTACCTGCTGCGGTTGACTTGATTACAGCGATCTTTTCATTGAAGTTCGATGCTGAGCAGGAGGATCCACCTAAAGCGAATTGATTTTCCTCGCTCCGAAATTCGAACCGAGCGGTCAAGGTCAAGGTCTGAAGCCACTACACGAAGGTGCAACGGTTATCCACTAGGATGATAGCGGGAATTAGAGGTAAGTGATATAAGGAGAGTTTGGAAACATTAGTGCTTTTATCCATGGAGAGAAGAACCCTGAGAGGCAACCCTATTGAGACCTTGAAAATAATGAAGGGGCTGACAGAGCTAGAGGCGGGCAGTCTGTTTACCCGGCTACCGCTTGCATCAACAAAGGGGCATCGTTTGAAGATAATGAAGCCCAAGAGCCGACTAAATCTTAAATTCACTTCCTCCAGGAGTAGTGATAGATGAGTGAAAACAACTGCTATGTTTACTGCTAGGCCGTATGAAAGTCGATGAGTTCACGAAGCAACTCGATGGGGTCTGGATTAGCCTCTTTCCAGAGATTTGTAGGTTGCTTACTGTTGAAAGTAGGTGTTTCATGCTTAATATTTTCGAGTAACCTCCATCCGCAGATACGGACTCGAAAAGGGAGGCTCTTGTGGACGTTTAAATCGTCTGTGGTCAAGCACTCGACAACAAAAGGCTCCGGAAGAAACTTGGTCAAGGCTGGTGCAAGAATCTGGCTAAAGCATCTACCGTGGTGTGAACCCTGACCTGACCTGACCTGACAATCAAGTGTACCGTCGAGAGTTAGCATATATCGCCATTATTTGGCAATGGTGATGTTTCAGAGAAATTTTTTTATTCGATATATCAATCTGGACATTTCCGGAATTCAGTTTTACTGTAATCATTATCGTGCCTTTATTGAGTTTCACAAGACCGCACTGGCATGATTCTCACGGCGAGCTCTGTATAACCCGCTTAATTTACTCCCATCAGATCTACTCTTAGATTTCGGCTGCCGTTACTAAATAGTAGCCTTAACTAGTAAACATCATTTCCAACATTTCGGAAGTTTCATAATACAGTACTTCTATAATCCAAAGCCTTGATGCTATTTACTCCTGGGACGGATATCTAGAAAGAACGTAAGCAACTATTAGTGACAGGTTAGGATGAACATCAACAACCACCCTAGTAAATAAAATGCCTCCGCTGCACGATCTCTCCCCTTTCCGTTAACAGCTAGGCTTTTATCTGTAGGGTCTTATTTTTCTATTCAATTTTCTCTGACATTATTGTACAACTTGTTTTAATACGCATAGTAGTAACAGCAAGATATAACCCTCGTTCGTGGCTACGCACGTGTTCTCCGATTGTTGCTGAATCAATAAGCGTGCATTATCAGTTGTCATTAAGCGGTTCGTTAAATGCCGCACCCATCCTTTTCAGCTTCACTGCACAGTATCAACCGGAGCCATACTCTCAAAGAAAAGCATCCATCAACCAAACGGACAACCTTTCTGTGAGTCCGTTTCATGTACCTTTAATTTAATTATTATCCGTATACGTAGCATCTTTTCCACTACATATTTGGTGAGCCATTGTTAAGGTTAGTTATGCTTTCGTATTTTGTCTGTGATACCTCAGTTCTTCAGGAATATTACTATATTTTTGTTTACTGTAAGCGTTGTATATGGAGCAATCAAAATACTATCCAGAGAACCTTCCCGAATCAAGTTTCCAGCAGTTGGTTAGCGGCTGCGGCAGATGCTGGATTGGAAAGACAACAGCTGCACGCCACTTCGCCAGTCGTTCCACCCTCCCCTTTCCCGGGCGATAGGAATAAAAAATCGAAACCTTGCGCGCTACGATTGCCCAACTGTCAACGACAGAACTCCAAAGTAGATAGCTGGTCACTCTCGACGAAGAATATCAAACACGTGCCCCTTGGACGGCTGCGCTACAATTTCTTGACAACGTTGCGTTCTGGAATTTGTCCACCCAAAGTGCTAAATATGCGTGATTTAACTATATACTCGAAGGAATTCATATTAAACGTTGAGGATGTTATTATGAAAAACCATACTGCCATGTTCGGAGTGCCAGTTGCTAGTAAAGCGTACAAATACTGCAAAGGCAGAAAACAAATTCGTGCCGGGTTGGAAAACTGCCCTGGGTCGTACTACTCCCTGCGAGATGACTGTACCTACTATTGTGAGCAACAATGTACGTTTCTTATCTGGAAAATTTCCGGACTTATCCTACCTGCTCCAGGAAAAGGAACTTTTGCACCTCTTGTGTCCTCAGGGGTCATGGCTCAGTGAGGATATGGACGATTCCTTGGTCCAACTGGATAATTTCGTCTGCTTCAGACAGAACAGACAACGGTTAAGGAAGAAGTTGGGAGGCGGTTTGATTACTAACATCAATAATAATTGGTGCGGAAAGTCCGAAGTACTTTAAGCATTCACAGAATGATGTTGATTGCTCGACCGTCCTCTGTCACCCCAACTTCTTCCGCTTTCCGTTTATTGTCATCACTAATTTTTACATTGCACCCCCGTGTAGATTGTCAGACATTGACACATTTCATGATAGTTTCCTACTGGTTATTGCCCATCTCTTTCTGACAGCTTGAACCCAATAGATGGTGACTTGAACCACTCCCCTCTACCAACTTTATTATGTTTAAACCTCAGTGACCTGATTATTGAACCAACTAGAGGAAACTCTCATCTAGACCACGTAATCACAAACCACACTGACACCTTTTCCACCAAACAGTTCTTCCTTAAGCACCAGTGCCCACAACGTGATCCTAGTCATGACTAAGGTTTACCCACACACAGGACATTTTTCTTTTACTCGACCCAAACACAACATGTTCGGTCAGCGAGATCTTCTCCCGAACAAAATTGCTTTGTTCAGAGAGTCTCTTAAGATAGTTATCGTCTGTCTTCCTTTAAGCACAATCTTCTTGTCAAATATCACATTTCTAAAAGAAGTATTAAACTGTGTTTCTGACATGTGCTGTCCTGTGATAACTTTGTTACTTCAACATGGCGGAACATCAACACCTTTTCTTAAACGTCTTCACCGTGAAAGGAAGGTGCATTTAAATGTAGCAGGAGGGTCGAAATGCAACGACTATCGTTTCCGATCAAATTGATTTAATACGGTTCGATGCGCTTTATGTAAGTCAGTGTTTTAAGTCAAGGAACTGTAAGTCTGTGGCGTGGAATGAACCTACTCTGCAGGCAGAAGAAAGTGATTCTCAGTCCCTCTATTGATATTGAAAATCTAAATGTTGCATTTGTTCATTCTTCGCCCGACACATATCACTGTTATGTTCATTCCAGTTCTCCAAAAATCCAACCTTCGTTTGATCCCATCACCTCTAATGAGATGCATAAACATGTGTTCTCTCAAGGTGTCGACCGCACGTGGTCCAGACAGCTTAGGTGCTCTGCCATTGTTTAAAACTTTTGCACACAAAGCTTATCCTTCACTTGAACTCCAAACTTTTCCGGACTGCTAAAGCCCAGTGAGATTTACCCCCATCCCCAAAAGTACGTCTAAGGCCCCAATAGCGAAAGGTTTCAAACCAAATGCTCTCACTTTCACTGATTTGAAATTGATGGAGCGTTCACTTCTACACCGTCTTCAGTTATCCCTTACCACCCCCGATGATAATTACCAATTTTCATATAAATATAACTGGTCTACATTAGATACCGTTTCTTCTCTAGTTCATTTAATCTGTAAACCCCTTAACG